CAAAACCAACCTATATAAATAGAAAACCAACACCTAATTTTGAAAATCAATCAAATATAATTGAGAGTCGACGTTGGTTTGATCAACCACTTGGTGATCAAAATTTACTTCCTGTACATGATGGTCGATATGGTCTTATTGCCGGTACATCCACTAATGAGTATATATTAAACAGTCAATTACCTGATAATGATTATGTAGAACACGATCCACGTGTATGTATAACTTTATTTCTAAATTGTCCATTTAATCATAGAAGAAACTAACAGTTGAGGTATTAATGGATGATTAGAGTATTGATCGTATTCGAATGGTATCATTCTTAAAGAAAATTTTTTTTCTTATACAAACCAATGTGTATAATATTTCTTATTATTTATTAACAAATAATTGAAAAATAATTTCTTTTTTTTTCTATTTAGAGGAATAGAAGTAATTGCACAATATCATAGCTGATGAGTTTTTTGTTTTGACTCAAGAATATTAAATAACATTCAATTTGTATCTTTATTTGTTTCCAACCAAATTTTTTTTTTTTTGAAACAAATAAACTTAACATTTATAATAATCTCGAAATATAACTTACACAATAAGCAAATTTTAAAATCTATTTGTAGAAGGATTCTACACAGAAAAAAATATTTCGAATCTTTGATCGTACAAAAGAAAACATATTTTATCATGCAACAAACACATCTTTTGCAATCTTTGTATGTTATTATATAATGGATTATATTTATAAATATACATGTCTTAGGCAAAATTAAAGTTGCCGCTAATTTCGCACCGAGTATGCACAACGGGCTTAGTCCGTATGGCATCTAGTATTTTCTAGGGAGAATCGGATTTTCAAGAAACAGAAACTTGTAAAGAATAAAAACCAAAGAAAAAGATATTCAGTATCATTCGAACCTACAAAATCAGTACCTATTATAAAAGATCTTATATTATTGTATCGGAAAGATGCTTTATTACACGCATCATGGTTACATTTTTATTTTCATTGTAAATTCTTGTGGAAGCTATTAAAGAAAAAAAATACAATTACTCACAGATCATTCTAACAGAATATCATTAAACTCACGCATACCGTTTCTTTATTTGCTTCTTTTTCTCTTTTGTTCAAAAATATTTTTCGTTCGATGAAATTAATTTCTAAAAACTTTCACTGTTCATCTCTTATTATAAAAGATTATTCACTAAAAAAAAATAATTTATCCCATCAAATAATAGAGCAATTCCTTCTTTTTTTTTGCATTTTCTTTGTTTTTCTTATATTTAATCTTGTTGAACATATTGAAAACATAACATCCGAAATTATCATAATCTCTCCGTCTTCTTCAATTCATTTCAATTGAATAGCATCGAAACCGATTTCCATAACTGTTTCTAATTTGAATACTAGCTGCTTCGCGGCTTCTCAAGTATGTTCTTAGTTTTCTCACAATAACAATCATTTTATTTTCCTTCCGAATTCGGAGTGAATATCCTGCTCAAATGACTTTTTAGATATAATGAGTCTATCTAAATCTTCACGCTTTACCCTCTCCTTTGGTCATTTGAGTGAAGATTTGTAGAACGATTGAAGAAAATACATGAAAAATGAAATTGAAAAACTTTGAAAAATGTCTTGTAAGGAACACCATAAACTATCAATTAATAAAGAGTTTTTTTAAAATAAAATATTGCCCTACCAATAGAGAAGAAGATGCACGATGGGAACGTACTGTGTAATATACAACGACGATTATTACTACTTCTGATATCAATATTATCGGAAAGTTTTAGAAAAGGTATGTAGATAAGAGATTCTAAAATACAGAATAATCACTAGAGTATTTCTAGAAAATCAAACCCATAGTGTTTCAGCGCCTATAAACAGGGTAAAAAATTTGCTTTCACCATGTGTAACGATAGAGTGAATAATTTTCTACAAAATCAGACGTCTTCAAGCTCTTCTACGACGCTTCTTAGCCAAACTACATCAGATTTATGAAAGACCATCAGCAACATGTTTTTTCAACTCGTTCTTATCCTAATAGTTGTGAGTGGATGTAGGTGCTAGTATGCATTTTATTTTGGTTCACCCACACCCACACCCTCTCAAATCCACATGTTAACCATAGCCAGTTAATATAGATAATAATCCATAATCTATAAGAAGAAAACCATTCATTTTATTTTGTAACTCAATTGAAAATATACCTTATTTTTTTATTAATTCTTGTGAAGTAGAAACATCCGAACCATCTGATCCAAGTTGTTTTTCATTTGCTAATACCGCTTTCAAATCATTAATCTTTTGATTTAACATTTTGACCATATTTTCGAATTTAAAAATTGTTTTCTCTATATCTGCAACACGTCTTGTAAGATCAGCATTCGAACGTCGAAGATCATCAATTTTATTATTCAAATATAATATAAGTATAACTTGAGAGAACCGAGTTTTATTTTAATATGTGATGAAAAATGCAGTCATAATGAAAATTTCTTTCTTTCTTTTTATTTTTTCTATTATTTAATTATAAAATTAATAGAATTTTCGACCATTGACTGTTAGTAACAAGCTGGTGAAGGCGGCCATCATCAGTATAATATCGAAATACATCAATAACTGTCTAGTCCATAAAGATAAATCCATATTCCATAATTCATATCTAAATTTATAATCTAAATCCATAATCTAATGCATAAACCAAAAACTTAAAACCAAAAGAAGAACTCAAGTGAATTGAACTGCTATATAATAAGAAAAAAGAAAAAAAATTTCATTATGACTGCATTTCTCTTTATATATTGAAATTAAACTCGTGTTCTCTCAAGTTATACTTATATTATATTTGATGTTTCATATAGCAGTTCAATTCACTTGAGTTCTTCTTTTGGTTTTAAGATTTTGGTTTATGAATTAGTTTATGAATTTACTCATGAATTGTGAAATATGTATTTTTCTTTATGAACTAGACAGTTATTAATGTATTTCGATATTATACTGATGATGACTGCATTCACCAGCTTGTTACTAACAGTCAATGGTCGAAAATTCTATTAATTTTGTAATTAAATAATAGAAAAAATATAAAAAGAAAAAAAGAAATTTTCATTATGACTACATTTTTCTTCATTTATTATTCAAAGTCACAATTGTTTGCGCCATACTTCCAGGGTGTGGGTGGGTGTGGCTCTTCTCTTTAACTACACCTACACCCTACTACACTAGGATGAGAAGAAAAAAAAAGATAGAGAGCTATTGCACGTACCTAAAATAACAAAGAAAAAGATGGTATGTTTTTTTTCAACAAATAAATCTTTAATTACAATGATAAATCTGACGATGATGAGGATGAAAGTTCATGAAAATGTCTAAGCCATTAGTTATTGAGTTGGTTGAGCAGCTTGACGACGTCGTTCTTGTTCTAAATGTAAAGATGGACACATTGTGACCGTGGTATAATTCAGCAAAGTCACTCACCTTGTCGAAGATATTGTAGAAATTTATTAATAAGCCACCGTTGGAAAATATCATCGGCCAGTTCCTTCATTTCTTGATCATTTAACTGATTCTGATCGAAAAGTTGTTCACGATTTTGAATAGATTGATTAAGACGATTGATTTCTGCTTCATAACTAGTAATCTAAATAATAAATAGATGAATATCTCAAAGTACAATACATGCAATATGAGAACGAGATAGTGAATAACATTTAATCAATCATGCAGCAATTTCCTTATCGAAATGAAAGTGTACATTGGAGAATCGAAAGCAAGACCTATTGCTAACCTATAGCTTACCAAGTCAATGGCCATTTTTTTTCGAAATAACACAATGTAATAAATGTATGAATAGACAGACATTCTGAATCTTTTATATATGTTTATTCTCCTTGGTCATCCAATCCATTTCTTACTATACTCAATGGTCAAATAGACGGAATAGAGAGAACGAAAAAAAGGAAAAAAATCTCTACGGGCGAACATTGTTCAAAGTGCACTCGATCTGTGGAGCGAATAGAAAGAAAACACTGGTTCAATACACGCGAAGGTCACGGGAGAAAAATATCCGCAAGTTCATGCACATTGTTTTTGACAGAGTGAGTTTTTGAATTTAGTGAATATGAGCTGAATGAAATAGAAAGAGAATGCATACTCGATTTTGTCTGAAAAAAAACGAGAAAAACAACCAGAAGCATATATAAAACGTACGAGAAATATTTTGCTTAATGTCGGACTTACAATTGCATGTCGGTAGTATGTGAAATGTTGTCACTTGACATGTTCAGATGGAAAAAAAGCAAGACGAAGATCAGCATGACAATCAGAGTGTGAGTGTGACTGTGTGTATACAGAAAATGAAAAACTCACACCCACACCCGCACCCTATAATAACAATGTTAATACGAAACCAATCATTTTCCAACACCAAACCAAATGTCGTATATTGATTAAATGCGAAGCAATTCGAACGAACGCAATAAATTAGGTTGATATTTCATGCTTCTGAAAATAATGATTGAAATGTTTATAAGTTGGTAGTAATATAGTTTATTTTTTTACAAAAACTACAGCAATTTCTCGACCGTTGATCTATAAATGGTTGCGAATGATCAAGATCAAACAATAAATATTATTTTCGACCAATTTCTTGAAAAAATTAGAAAGACATGTACAACTCATTTTTTACAGAAAAGAAAAGAATTGTAATTGTGACGATTTTTTTCACGTTTTCTCAAGCATACAAAGAAGTCAGTATGGTAGCGCACATGCAAAAGAAAAAATCACCAGTAAAAGTTTCAACCAACTTTCAAATGCCTTTTCTCTATTGTTCGTTTCTTTCTTCTTTTTCAGTTGACTTTGTAACGATAGACAAAAAAGCGCAGTGCAAAGTACGCAACCGGAGAAGAATAGGAAGGGAGAATAAAACAATGACCATTTGTCTCTCTACTCGCTCTTCTTCTTTCCACTATGGTATCTATCTAGTCGTCACATAGAAACACAGTACACAGCTAGTATACCATATCAATCATATACAGTTTTTGTTGAGTCCGTTTTTTTCCACTCTAACCGTATAGGGTATGATAGATGCTTTATCCATATAAAACAGGTGTGTTTTTTCCCATAATCAATGCAGTCTTTGTTAGAGTAGATATGAAATGAGAGCCGTCGACATATCTCTTAAACAAGCAACCAAACACGAACGCACAAAGTGACAAAAAACAACAATGACTGCTTCGATGAAATTTACTCTTCTTCTCGTTATCATCT